CTATCTATCTATCTATCTATCTATCTATCTATCTATCTATCTATCTAGACATCTATCTATCTAGACATCTATCTATCTATCTAGACATCTATCTAGACATCTATCTAGACATCTATCTAGACATCTATCTATCTATCTAGACATCTATCTAGACATCTATCTAGACATATATTTATAGACATTTATTTTTAGGGACAAGCCAACCTTAGCCAAGGAGCAGAGCCGTCCCAGCAACTGGCGGGAAGGCCAAGTCCCCAGCACCAATACAGAACACCCAGAAACCCATGCCAGCACCACATCACACTCCAACTCCCCACCCCATCCGCAAGATTCCCTTGAACCCATGACCTGCCCCCAGCAACCACTCGGCATAGATCGAGGACCTTGTGAGAAGCCAGGCTTCAGCAACTGCAGTATCAGGCAACAGGGGACCAGAAAAACTGAGAAGGTTATAATGTAGCTATTGGAGAAACACACAAATAATACAAGACTTTGTCTCATGTCCACGGGTTACCACTAAAATGTTCATAGGATTGAGGACTGTTGAGCTATTCAACACAAAAGGTTAACCTCAGAAAATCCTGTGTGCTTGCAAATAATCTTCTCTAGAACTCACGCTAACATTGATGGTAATACCTTGTTAAAGACAAAAGCCTTCATCCTCTATCCTTTTCAACCTCTTAAATTAAGGGCAAACCTATCAAGCTGAGTAGAAGGCAATTGCTCAGAAGAAGGAGAGGCTTGACCTGAATAAAATACATGTAACCACCAATTCATTGAAAGTTCCAAGATCTTCCAGATGTTTCTTGTTGACCGCACTCCCCATTTGTAGCTTTGATTTTCGAGTCAAAGTGAACAGCTGGGCAAAGGCTCAAAGAGAGGACACAAAGTGGCTTACGCTTTTCTCTATGGAGCGGAGATATCTAGCGCATTCAGAGTATCCGTTGTACTCTGCCAGATCTGCTGCCGTGAACCCATCAACATCTTGATCTGCAGGGTCTGCTTGATTGGCCAACAGGATTTTACAGCACTAATAGATTATTAAAGGGTGAGAAAAAAGTGAGTGTGCTTCAAACAGTGTTAATAAAATACACAGCCAAAAAAAAACACAAAACAATATCAATAAAGAAAAAACCTCCGGCTCTCCATTCTCTGCAGCGTAATGAAGTGGGGTCCCTCCCCAGTAGTCCTTGATGACCCTGGAACCCATGTGAAGCAGTTTCTCCAAGATGCAAAAGTGCCCCCTGCTGGCAGCAAAATGCACAGCAGTTGCTCCATCTCTGTCCTGGCAGGACAAGTCCACATCCGTGTGCGTAACCTGTTTGAAGTTCAGGCAAAACAACACATTCGAAATGACTCTTTAAAAAGTTTACATTATTCTTTGCCTCTGTACTGACCAGCCACACTACCACAGCTTGGTGGCCCATGTGAACAGCAGCATGCAGGCAGGTCATGCCGTCGTAGGCCCTCAGGTGGATGTCAGCACCACTGTCCTTCACGAGGTACTCGACAACATGCAGGTGCCCCTCTTGGCAAGCCAAGTACAGGGGGGTAGCACCAATAACTGTCTGATGGTTCACACACCTGTCCTCAAGAAACACGTGAGTGACAAGGGGACGAGTTAGCACTATCAGCTGTTAGATGTTTGAAACCACTTTGTGCCTTTCTGCCTTTGCATTGTGGCAAATACTGAAAACGGAATAAAAAAAATACATGTAAATTAAAAACAGATTATTTCAACAGTTTTTTTTAAATCCAAATAAATTAGGATGTTCACTAGCCATAGATTAAGATTAACAAAAATAACTGAAGAAGAACTGATGTTTTTATAAACAAGATATATAATGGGATGTAAGATAATAAGATAAGATAACAATAAATGTGATGAGCATCATAGAAGTATGGGACACATCACACTGATTAGGACCTTTTTTGCAGATTTCTGTGAGTAAACTAAGTCTTCACATTCAAAGGGGAAGTGTGAGCTGAATTCCATGCTGTAACATATGAATATCGTTGTAGTTGATATTTGTTTTGGTTGAAGACCCCCAGGGCTTCATGTACATCTATGCACAAAGTCTATTTCAACAACTGCAGAACAGACATGTGATTGACAGTGTTCAGATACGCATTTTTCACCAGCTGCTGCTGGTTATGAGACGGTCTGAGCCTAACATGCATCATGTGAATGACAGAAAGACTTTGATTTATAGATAAAGTAGGATGAGAATCATATCTTACTCTGGTTCTTTCCTTCCAAAACCTCCAGCGATAGAAACGAAAAGGGTTTTGTGCTCGTCTTTTCTTTGCTAATTTTCTTCAATTTTTGACTTAAGAGTCACACAATCTGCACTAAAAAATTTTTTTTAATCATATCAATGGATACATTGAAAATATTTTTAGGATTTATAAGCCTGTGTGAGTGTAACTCTGGCAAATGAATACTAGCATGACAACATAAATTAAATATAAATTAAAGTCTCATTACACCATAAAAAAATTAATTCAGGAATTAATATAATGCTATTTCGCAGTATGAAAGTGTCATTACACCATTAAACATGAATTCAGGAATTAATATAATGCTATTCGGCAGTATACAAACATATACTGCACAAATTAAATGTAAAGTGACAAATGTAGTCTTTCTGAGACATTAGTAGTGAAAAATAGATGGTAAGCAGTGAATTGAACTGAAATATAAGAATGTTAAGATTATTTGTTTTGCTAAAGTCAAGGAATTAATGCAAGAATACAAAGTGCCACCTTAGTTCAATTACTCCTTATGTGAGGTATACAATGATGTGTGGCACTGACTAAACATGAAGAGGATGTTTCAGTGAAAATTATCAGACATTTATCATGAAAAGTGCAATAAATATCATTAAACACCTGTTATCTTAGAACAAGCAGCCCCTACACTCATATCAGACACCAGCTACTGTTCTTTATCAGTTCCACTACAGTAGGCTATCAACAACTGGGGGTCATGGAGAGGTGAACTGAAGCGACACAGAGCCACAAGCATACCAGTTGTCACGGGGGGTGGGTCTTGGAGGGAGGACTCAGTCGCGGAATGAGGGGAACAAGGTTTATTGACAAAAAACAGGGTGAATGTCCAGACAAAGTACAAAACAAAGCTGTGGCAAACTGTGGGCAAAGTAACAAAGCAAGCAAACAAGACTGTGGAAAAACTATGACAAAGTAACAAAATAAAGATTAACAAGACTATGACAAAAACGTGACTATGACTGTGGCTGTGGCAGAACTATGACGAAACAAACCTGGCGTGGGGGTGACGACGGACGAAAGGACAAGAGGCAAGACAAGAAGACAAGAACGACCCCGCACCAGACAAGGGGAAACGAGGACCATTTAAACACATGAGGGAGGGAAACCCCAGGTGTACACAATAGGTAATCAAGACGAGACATTCCCCCAGGCGTGACACCAGTTTTATTCCACCGTTTGAAACAGTACACTCTTTGGTTCAACAGTTGTTTGAGCACAGCATAAATATTGTAGTTAATGTCAGCATCATAAACAGAATATATATTTAACTTTTATTCATGTTACCCACTTTTTTAACTTGACCTTATTTTAATTATTTATTTTCATCTTAATGCTCGCTTTTTAAAAGATTTCATTATTTTATTTTATTTGTATTTGTGAATTTTATTTGTTTATCTGATCCTATTTTAGATTTTTTAACCTAAACTGTTGTTATAATAGTGTTTCTTCCATTATCTTTTTAATACAGTGGCCTCAATATAAAGGCTTTTGTGCAATTATGTGTCTGTGTGAATATAAGTAAGAGAGACTGACATTAACAGGCATTTTGTAGTCTTTTACATTGTTTTTGTTTCACCTACAAAAAACTTTATGAAAATAAACTCTTATTGACTGATTTGTGGTATTTAAGTCAATTTTCTTCAAATAGTTTTATTTAATACATTGCTCTATCTTTATAACTTATACTAACTGTGAGAATCAAGAAAACAGCAAATTACAGTTTTCAGCGTGAAAAAAGAAAACAAAAAATGTATCAAAACAAAGATTTTATGAAATAACAGAAGAGTGGCTGGATCAACTAAATTGACTTTTTTGAGAAAGGACCACAAACCCTGCCTCCTGAAAATCATAGTTATTTAACTCACCAGGGTGCTCTCTGAATGAGTAGTTTTAAACTGGTGAGATCCCCATTGGCGGCAGCATAGTGAGCAGGAACAGCTCTGCAGTTCGTCTCCACGCTGGCTATTCCTCCAACAGAAAGCAGCCACTGAATTACCTCAACTCGACCAAACCGAGCAGCCAAGTGAATGGCTGTGGCGCCAGCGGCGTCCCTGTCCTGGAACAGTTCACAAAAAGTCACCCTATTTTTGCCTCTCCTTTCCCTCACCTGCAGCAGAGGTTCTTATGAAAAACAATGTTAAGACATTTGGTGACAGCAGCTGTAACAGAAAAAATGTGCACTTGCTGCGCAAGGAAAAAAATAAAATAGCTTTTTTGAGCTGAAAATAGTCAGATGCCAATAAAATAAACTGATCAGTTGTTCCTAAAAGTAACACTTACAGTAAAGCTAGTAGTGCTACATAGTATTATGATTGTTTTATTAAAAAAAAAAATAGCAGGCCATGTAGTAATTTGGAGTGAGTGTAAAATTTTGATGTTGTAAAGTTTGCCTATGTGTAATAAATATGGAAAAAAATTGTCCTTTTGATTGTTAATAAGAAATGAATGGAATCTCTTTTACAATAGTTACTTAAAATGGATGAGAATAAGCGGTAGAGAAAATGGATGGATAGGTGAATAAAGTGATGCTGCTGATATAGAATGTTCTTGTTCAAGATTTATGACATTTACATTTGGAAAGCACTTTAATAGATGAAAGTGGTCAACTTGGGGTTGTCCAACTACACAGCAACATGTGACTAAGGAAAGCCCAGAATCAAACAAAACCAAATGAAAAAAATAGAACGCCCCTCATAGACAATGATGGTGTGTCCTGAGGCAATATCTCCGAGTGGCATGTCTGGGATTAAACCATTTTTTGTCTTTAAAGATTTCAACGACTGCTCCATTATTGTTAATTCTGTCTGCAGACATGTTTCAATGAAACAGTCTTCCCAATATTCTTGCTGTGTAGTCAGGCATCCATCCATGTTCATCTAACAAGACAGTGATGTTATGTTTCCAGTTGGGGTCAAGAAAAGAAATGGTTTAAACTTCCTTCTCCGAATCTAAGATGTCTCCTCTTCAACTCATCTGGAAGTGGTCTCGTCTTGAAAGCTCAATGGCGTTACATGTCTTAAACAAATGTACAAACGTGGATGGCTGAAGTAGCTCCAGTGGCACAATATTCAGACCAATGTGGAGAATAGAGTTTATTATAATTCTCAAGATAAAAAAAAGATCCAATATGCCCAGATTTTGGGGGGAAATAATAGTTTTTACAGTTTTAAAAGTTAAAAAGACCAAACTGTTTGAGTTAAAACAATTTTTATTTACTTTACAAATTGCAAGGGGATACATTTTGCACAGTACCCAGTTGTATATATAGGTTACTATTGCATTGACCATGTAACAAAACTGTATTTTTCAAGTTTTTGTTTGAACTGAAGGAAATCTGAACTAAAGGAGTAAGACAAACAGATCGAAAATAACATTCAACACAGGAACTCCTAATAGATTAATGGCATAAACTACAAACTCCCCAGCGCCCAATCCAATCAAATAATGGGAACAAGCCAAATCTTTAGATGTCTCCAAACCACAAACCATATAATGCATATGATGCAAAGGGAGAATGTAGCAATTCTTTGATAAAGACTAAAACTATTCAGAGTAGACAAAAAGAAGCTACAACATCTGGGCTGGTGCTTTAGTTCATTCATATTGTGTGGTTTGCTTTCAGTATACCGTAAAAATGGCTCAAATGTATTTTAAAAAGCTCTCTTGATAAGCCTACCTCTATGTTGCAGCTTCCTGGATCCACAAGCCATTGCAGCTCCCGAATGTTACCAGTGGCTGCAGCATCGTGAGCTGGCGTGGCTCTGTTCAGGGCTCGGGGATCAGCTGCCATACCCAAATCCCTAACCAGGAACTGCAGGCAGTCCAGACGTCCACACCTGGCGGCGTGATGGACCAGACCTGCGCCCTGAGCATCACAGATGGCTGGAAAGATGTGACCAGCAGATGCTAGATCTCTCAGGCCGGCTATGTCCCCATCTCGAGCCGCCTGAATGGCACGATGCAGTACCATTTTTGGCTGCTAACACTGAGTTATGGCGTACGCGGAGCAAACTTGTTGGAGCTCTTTGCATCCCAGTGAGACACAAGTACAAAACCCCATTAGAAAAAAGGACTTCATATCGTCTTTGCCTCCTCCCAAGCTGGGAAAGTGACACCCGTACGCCAGCCAGCTGGCCAGCGCTGGTGCTGGGTCGAGCGGAGGAGATCAAAGCCAGCGAAATAGAAAGAAGATAATGAAAGACGGATGCAGGTGTAATACTCATGGCCCCCTGCTCTCGCTTTGTGTGGCAGTGGCCATATGCTGGCACATGCAGCCACGCTCCAGTAGTGATGGGGGACTGAGGCTGCACGGAAACTTAAGTAAGGGGAGAAGTCAGAGCCGAGGCAAGGTGGATTACAATGAGTATTTTCTTAGGACTATTTTAAAAATTCATCACCAAGTGGGGATTATTAACAGTTGACACATGTAGGCTATCATAATCTTCAGACAGTTTCACGTGGTGCGTTTGATATTTGTTTTATTTAAAAAAATGTTGCCCTGATTCCGATTTGCAAAGTAGTAACTCACATGACATAACGTGAGCTGAGTGCATTAATCTTACCGTAACATCACCACTGTGGTCACTCACAGGTTCTATTAAATATCCCATGTATTTTACAGGATCAGTTAATGTAATAATAAACACAGATGTGCAATGTTAAGTTCTTTACATCCTCATTTGAGAAATGGAAGAACTCTACTTAGTGCAAACAAAGGCCATCAGTTCATTTCTTCCAGCAGCTGGACAGTCTCCCTCAGGTCCTCCACAACTGCGTCCACATCTGCTTTGGTCGTTCCCCTGCCCACGCTCAACCTTATGGCATTAGCCGCAACCTCTGTGGGTATGCCAGAGCTCAGGAGGATATGAGAAGGCCTGATGGACATGCACAGTGTAGGGCAGCGAGAATTACATAACAGCAAACGATACGGTGTGTGGACAGTAGCACAGCAGTTGGAAAGAGCGACTCTTATACCTGTTCACGCGATCGGAGTGGCAGGCAGCACCGACGCTTGCCAGCAGCCTCCTGCAGTTGGACAATACCCTCCAGCCTAAATCAAGAATAAGGGCTTAATCATTTAAGGAATTTGTCATGTACAGATATTAACGTGATGGTCATTAACTGTCACTGATGGATACTGGATTAGGGTTAGACGACACTGTTGGAATTGATAGAGCAAAGCTGGCAGAGAAAGAGGTGATGAGTCGTGACATCACCTTGTAATGCCGGACCCATGATGGACACGTTACATGTGTTAGGGAGAGTATCAGAGCCAGGGTAGTGGCTGTTGAAGCGGACCTTGTCTTGAAAGACACCCTGAGAAGGAAAATGTACGCAACAGTAGTCATTATATTAAAAGGCAAGACCGTTTTCAATTCTAAAGTAAAATAATATAACGCCCAGCTTTAAGATGAGCCTCAGCACACTTTAAACAGACAACATCTCCAATTATAAAGCAAATGGGACTTTTTTATAGAAAGTCTTCCCAAATGGAATCACAACCCACCGTCAGTCGTTCTTCCAAATAAAGTTTAATACTTTGCATGTGACTCTGATATTCTGACAGATTTGAGGTCACCAGTTCTGCAGCCTAAAAGAAACACACACATGTAAAAAGCAAAAAATCCTATGCTTGGTTTCTGAACTACTTAACAGAGGCAACATTATTTTGTACATTTTATTAGGATATTTTCTATATAACAAAATTTCTCATGGACTCTTCTGTAACACATGCAGCACACTGTGCAGGAAACATACCTTTCCCAAACCAGCAATCATTGGTGTGTTTTCGGTGCTGTGATGGTACCAAAAATAAAAAAGAAACCTTTTTACCTCCGCTATAGGTGCGCTTTTTTACTTGATTGGTGTTATCTCATGTGACACAGTGGACATCAATCATTACCCTGCTCTGAAATCCCTCTCCTGCCCTCCTCCAAACAACAACGGATAGATAGGTGTTCTTTTTCCAGGGCCGTTTGCATACAGAGCACCCACACGTGGGGCATAGAACTAGAAGTTTGAAAAGAAAAAAGCATCTCTCAGTAGGAATTTTGCCTTATTGTTAAGCAAAGTTTAATCATCAAAAAAACGAACATCTAACCTTGTGTCCAACTATTGTAAGGTAATCTACTCCAAGTTCCTGGACATCTACTGGGATTTTGCCCAGGGCCTGGGCAGCATCAGTGTGGGTCAGGATTTTGAGTCTCTCACGTTGCTTGTTGAGAGATTTTATTCTCTGACAAATCTCTTGGACTGGCTGATAGGAGAAAGGAGTTTCACCATGGACAAATATTTTTATACAATTAAAAACAAGTAAAATATTGAAAAGATATTTTCAGATCAACACATAAGAGCCCAGTGGTTCTTCAAAAATTGTTATTCTCTCACCATTATGACTCCAGTCTCATTGTTGGCCGTCATGACTGTGATAAGACATGTGTTTGGACGCACTGCTGCAACTATATCATCTACCTCTACACGAGCCGTCACCTTAGACACGGGCACAAATGTCACATCTATGAAACAGGTTGAGAGAGCGAATGAATACAAGGAAAAAGATTTCCAGTAATTGATCAAGAAAAGCAAACACTTGCTTAAAGTTAAAAAAAAGAAAAAAAACTATTGAGTAAAAACGCAAACATAAATGTGGAGTCTTACCCGCCTTGCCCTCCATCTCTAAGTGCTGAGCTGTGATTTTGATCGAGTCATGCTCCACATTGGTGGTGATGATGTGAGGTAAACCAGAGCATCCATTCTGATGTCCTTCTCCTTGCTCAGCAGAACGGCTGATTTTCCGGAAGTGCTCTACGGCCGTGTGCAGCACCAGGTTATTAGCCTGCAAGATCATTGGCTTTCCATAAAACATTGCTCTGAAGAATGATCCAAAAACTCAACAATGTTGTTACCATTAAAAAAACACAGATCAACTGTTACCTCTGTTCCTCCAGAGGTGAAAATAATGTCCTCGGCTTTACCTCCAACCATTTTGGCCACACTCTGTCTGGACTGGTTAATAATAGCTTTGGCCATGGCACCTGGAAAACAAGTGACAGCTGAAAAGTGCAACTTAAACCAAAAAATCCTTTCCATCTAGATGAGAAAATAAATATCAATTCGATCATCTTGGTCTGAGGTTTTCCTCACCAGCAATATGATTGCTGCTAGGGTTTCCCCAGGCATCCTGGAGGGCTTCAGAAACAGCTTCAATCACCTTTGGCTCCATTGGGGTAGTAGCATTATAATCCATATAAATCCTGTGTTATGTGAAAGAACTCAATCCACAGAATTCATGTAGTATACTGATGTGCTATAACAAATCAAAAGCATTAATAGAACAGTAACAAAACCAGCTTACCTCTCTAAATTCATTTCTGGAAAGTGATGGAGGGTGTGATCAGGGAAAGTGTGACCTATTACCAAGGTGATGTCTTCTGTCTTTTTTGCCATACTATTTGAAAATGATACATAAACAAACTGAAATGAGCACACGTTTGTTTCTGAACTGGTTAGTAATAGAGCACCATTTTTTTAAAACCAGGTATGAGTTACAGAATGCTGATTTGTTGCCGAATGATAAGCATACGCATATCTTATATGCATAAAAATACGTATTAGGTGGTATTTAATGGATACTTCTAAACGGGTTTGGTGGGCAATTTCAGCGTCAGTGTGCAATTGCAAACCATATGCGAGCTGCAGAGGACCCTGAGATTTATTACACACGTTTATGTCAAACCCTTATCGTTAACATATCTTTACAGCATGAGTTTATCGTCAGCTATGTTGTCAGTCAGAAGCTTAACTGAAAGTTCCTTACTCAGCTAGCTCAGAGCTTCCTGGTTCTGACCAGACTATAGAGCGTTCAGTACACCGAAATTTATAGCTGAACCATATATAGACGACGAACTATGTCACTAGTCATTTCATAGGTGTCCGAGATTGTATGCGGATCAGGTTGTGCCGACGTGCTGAGGGTCACATCTGTTTACTTTAGCTAAAGCTAGCTAATGTAGCTAACTCAATTTTGACAGCAAAATAACAGTAAACTTTTGCCACTAAAAAAAAACAAAAACATCACACTTAAGACATATATGCAGCTTTCCAAATGAGATAAAAGTTGTAAAAGCTAAACTTCGTGTCCGACCTTGGGTATTTATGTGATGATGTCCTTAAACGTTTTATTGTATTCCTCTAACAATCATTAGCTTGCTAGCCAGTTAGTGGATCTCATCCGCTGTTTTTCATGGGAGCCTGGTCTTAAAGCGGCACTGTACTGGATACGCGTAGTAGTAATTCCCCCCTTAAATTCACGTAGTCGGGTCAAGAGTCCGTGTCGAGTTTATCTAATAAATTGTATGAGTCTAGAAAATAATCGTGTTCGTGTTTGGGGTGAACTGAGGACCAGAGTCAATTTTACCTGTTTACGTGCTGCTCGGTTTAGATCTCAAGGTAAAAAATATCAATAAAAAAATGTTTTGTCGAAAAGAAAAGTCGAGTTTTTAAAAAGTCTAGATAAATGAAAAAGCGTCAAAGAACGGTCCGACTAAACTTAGGAGGAAGCAATGGTGCAGTTTGGAGATGTTGACGTAATATTTAACACGTCAGTGGTTGTATCATATGATAGACTTCGACTGTGTGAGTGCAGTTTGTGTATTTATTCATTACAATCGAGGATACGTTGCCAGAGTGAAATATACAATGTTTCATACAAAAAAGAGTAACTACTTTGTTGCAATGTTTCCAAGTTTATTTCATATATAACAATGTGTTAAGTGAACAGAAACATCTGACGCTGTACTCCAACACTCAGACAATGACTGAACTACTGCCCATGTAAGAATTGGTTAGTGGGTGCATTTTATACACTGTTCACAGCAATCGTGTTTATATACAATGCAAAGTCATATGAAGAAGGAAGGACCTAAATTTATTTGTGGGGGGAAAAAAATGAAAAAAATATTAAATATGGAAGCACAAACATGTTCAGATATTAACTTAGGGGGATAATGAGGAAAGGTAGACGTTGTGTGAAGGCTGCTTGAGCACAATAATGAAGGTAGATACTGATACAAGAGTGAAAGTGTGATTGCAAAGTCCAAAAGAGCACTACTTTGTACAAGATGCAATGCCCGACCGGGCCACAGTGAGCCATAATCCCTCCATTCAGTGGTGGACAGAAGATTACAGCTGTTACCCAGGACCTCCATGTGGTTCCTTGATAACTTTCCATCAATCAGTAAGGAACCATAACAGGAATCCAAAGGACAGGTTAACACAATCATTTCAGCAGTGTAAGCGTTTTCTTATATTAACATACATTCAGTGTGAACGTTGTGAGTGCACCAACAAAACTTTGGTTGGTTCAAACGTGATGCATAATAAAAATGGACAATAAAAGCAAGAGGAATAATCTTGACATACACTGGAGCAATCCCTGATAAGCAATTTTTTAGGGGGGAACTGCAGTGTTATAAATGGAAAAAAGAAGAGAAAAAAAAGACTTCAACACAGTAACATACAGTACAGCCTGATATTGCCATAATAATAATGAATCCATAGCTGGATGATATACCAAAAGTCGTGCGATACACTTTTGGTTTTGGTTTACCATCTGTTACATAAAAAAAAATTAAAAAAACCCAATAACACCTTTTACCTTCTTAAATTGATTACCATTGCTGACACTTGCACACACACAGGATTCACTACTCAAGCTCACAACACAAAATATTTGGATATGTCAGGTACTGAACAGATTTTGTATGCAAGCAAACGCAAAAAATGGAACATCTTGTCTCATAGTTTAATCTTCAGCAAAAAATTGACTACGTCATTAGACTGTTTATTGAATTAATAATTTTAAGCAGTGTGTTGTACTTATGCAGGACTTTGAGATTGTATCATTCGATTTCATAGAACATGCCCTTCAGGATGGCTGACCTGAGGCATGCTCATTAATATGACTTTTTGAACACATTCTAAACATTTTCTGTAAGTGGTTTTAGATCACGTTCAGTGTAGGACTTATAGTCATAATGAGCACAATGCTGGGAAAAAAGCATTTCTGCTAAAAAAAAATAACATTGAGATAAAAAAAAAAAAACAGGAATACACTATAATATCTGTAAAATCTTAAAAATAGACTGTCGAAATTCAAAGTGATGTTCAAGCTGCTTGGTTGTTGACAGTCTTTAAGTATGTTAGCACTCTGTGCTATGGAGATTGATTGCCATTTTAGTAATTAAATATTACCACAAATGACAACTTTTGTTCAAACATGCAGATGATGATGACGAGCAGGAAAATAATTAAATGATATCTGATATTCCAGAACAATATTTCTAAGCAGCATGAAGTATGTGGTGTCAAAGCAGTTGGTGTAGAGGCATACTGTGCAGAATATTTGAAAAGAGAGGCACTAAATTCATCAATATACATTTCATTCAGAAAGCCAGTTTCATATTGTGTACCATTAAGCACAGTTTTTCGCATCCTAATTTAACAAGGATGGACAGACTACCCATTCTCTGCCCAACATTGGCTTCTTAGATATATTTTAGTTGGATCAAAGGTATGGCGATTTTAATCTTAATAGTGGAGAGTATTATTCAAGTAAAGTTAAGCACAAAGAAATTCGCCAATGTTTCTCATCAACTTATTAAATATTTTGGAAAGCATTAACAGGATGGATCATATTATTTAAACATTAAAGGAACTCATTAAAAAGTGCCATGTGCAGAAATTGCACTGTACTACTACTTTAGAAATATAAATGTCTTTGTAAATAAATACTTGCACAAATAAATAAAGCAGTTAAAAATCTAAATATATCACATTTTGAAAAAAAGAAAATTCAGGTACAGAATGAGATCAAACTGGGGAGAATTCATGTAAAGATGTCTTGTCATGTAAATGTAGATACTCTACTCTTTCAAGTAGCTAAAATGGTTTGGATTTACCAGATGAAGTCTATAATGATGTGTCATTCTTTTGCCAGGCTGTGATTGAGAAAGTATCTATGAGGTTTCAAGAATAGAAGGCAGATAATTCAACGTCAGGATTCACAGATCAGAGAGAAGAGACACATTCTTAGAAGACACTCCATTGTCTTTTTTGTTTTAACGTGTAATTTTTGGATGTATGTTGAAGAGGAACCAGTATAGTAACTGTATATGTATATATATATATCCATGGAGATAAGCAGAGAAGAATCTGCACGTTTTTTTACTTACTGATGCAAATGTAGAGCAGTGGTCCTCCTTAACACGAATGCTTTAGATGAAGATACGTCACAGCTTTTTTTTTTTTTCAGAGTAAATGCATAAGGCTTGATGTGTCACTGACAACAACTAACAGTACATTACCATACACATGTAATCTGAGATAAGAAACTCTTGCTACTCGCTCCATTTGTTCAATCATCCAGCTAGGAATTAACTCCAGGACAATACAGTGACGGATTTTGGAATAGTTTCTTCACACTCAAAGACTCACCGCTTTGAAGGCCTGACACAAAATGGGTGCTTTTTAGATGCTGAGGACACAAACAATGAACTTAGAAAGCACAGAGGGAAGATGCTGTTGGTGACAGTGATGGTTGAGACGGGGCTCAGTACAAGGGGATCAATAAAGACAAGGACCTATGTACATCTTAGTCTTTGCTTTTATCATTCTCTCACATCCTCATCTGTCCAGCTCGTCTTCTCGACAGCTTTGACCTGAAAGGCAAAGACAATCAGATAACAGTCAGTAAATCAGTTTGATTTTACTAATCCCAAACCGTTCCACAATTGCTAAAAATGCCATGCCTGATAGTTCCAGCGAGGAGAGGATTAAATGCATATAACCAGTCATGCATTTCTTTGTCATTAGTGGCTTGAAGTAATATTCCACGGTGCTTCGTACACACAGCAAATGTGTTCGGGGTCTGTTGAGAAGAGAATCGTGAAATCTTGTAACATCAAGACTAATGTAGGAGCCAAGAAAGTTTTATTTTTGTGAAAGTTTGGTGGATCACTGACCTTTAGCATTGCCTGCTGGTCCTCACTGTACTCCACCTGAGCACAGGAGAGATTCAGAATCGCCCGTTCCACAGTGTCTCTTTCTGAGTTGTAGATGTACACGTATGGCCGACGAACGACGACGTAGCGTTTCACCCAGCCGTTGGTGTGTGGCTCCAGGAAGTGTATGTAACCTTTCTTTGACACGATGGGGCTGAACGAGAGAACAATGTTTTTTTTTAGACCAAGAAATGTTGTCTTTGATTGTGATGATCTTGCAATGACAGTTTCATACTGACCTGACTCTAATCTCCTGGATATCAGGGACATATTTGTAGATTCGAGGTTTGGTGTCAGAGGCTCCATTGATGGATTTCTTAGGGTCTGCCTCCTGCTGAGATTCGGGACTGGGGCTGACAGCACGTAAGAGAGGTGTTGGTGGTCTGTTGTACAAACGAAGGGGAGCTCTAGTTACAAGGCAGTAAATGATCTAATATTTAATCTTTTAAAAAATGTGTAAGGAAAAAGGACTGATGACCAACATGGCTACAAAGAAAATTATTAATGACAACCACTGCCCTCGAACTGACCTAAGTTCAGCATGGCTATAGGAACCCTCAACCAGTGATGGACATGTTGATGAGGGTGTGATTGTGTTAAGAGCAGAGATGGAAGGGGAATCTTTGAACATTGTGACAGACATCTCAGAGATCTGCAACACAAACTGAGGTTAGATCATCTGTATACAAGTAAACAATACTTATTATATTTATGATACACATGTTTAACTGGATTTCCTTTCAGTAGAGCACCTTGCTTTCACTTGCACTGACGCACACATGACTATATTCCCTGTTAAAGGAGTGAGTGAGCAGCCGCAAACACTGTGAGAAAAAAGGAGAGAACTTAGACTCTGATGTTGGATTTTAAAAAACACTTGGGCATTGTGACTGTAATTCTAGAAAGAAAAATCGCTGACTTTGGCGGCAAGCTCCCTCTGCCTCTCAGTGGTGATTTCGGAGCCAGCCTCCTGATCTGCTTCATTGACTTGAGGAGGGGCACTCAGCTCCTCAGTAACACAAGACTGAAGGGAATCCTGTCCCGTTAACAGGGTCGCCTCCAGTTTCTCCCTCAGCAGGAGGTAATGTTTGGTCTTCTCCACCTGGAAGAATGAAAAGAAATATCAGTAACTGACACATTTTAATGTTCCTACTATATACATATAAAAAATTGTCAGCAAGCATCAGTCATGTCATCAGTCAGTCACTGCTTTCATAATATCCTTTCTCTTTGTGTTTTATAAATAGGGTTTTGTCTTCACAATTATGTATTTAGAATGGGTGAGGGACATTTAGCTACGGCTTTCTTTTGACATCTATCTATAGAAGACAAAAAATGACAACAACCAATTTAGAGTAATAAAGTGTGTGCCCCTTACATCTTGGAGGAGACTGAGCTTCTCCAGTTCCCATTGGTGATCCAAAATGAGACTGTCACTGCGGGGCCTCCACCCGGCCAGGTTCTCCTCTCCACGGACATAGGCCACGGAGGTGTCCAGCACCCGCCTGCGTCTCCTCTGCATTCCTGGTTATGGAACGCGAGGATTTATTAGAAATGTTGAAATAGTGATCTTATTGCACAACAGTAACTCATCTTGACCCTTACCCGGGCTCCCTGCATCTGCCAGGTGACATAGGCTAACCTCATAAACTCCAGTTACACGATTCCTAGAAAAAGACAGAAAAAAGTAATTAACTATATAATCACAAGGATCATGCAGAAGCTTGATGGTGAGTTCTTAGTCTGACTTTTCAAACTCACCCATCTGCTCCTCTTAAGCTTCCTGTACCAAAAAGGTTGCGGATTGAACGTGAGGCTGAGAGCTTTGTGTCTCTAGAGTAAAACACCATGCAGACATCTTTGGTTATGACTGCAGGCTGTGTGCAGCTCTCCATCTGCAATTGATAGAAGAGGGAGGCTTTCACCCATTCCTTCTCTTGAGGAACTTCCACATTACATCTGATCCTGTATTAGCTGCTTCTGTTTCATATCAATGTAGGCACTGCAGTATACCTCCAAGTAGGCTGATAGGGTCATATAAATCTTCTCCCCATATGGAGTGACTCTGTTTAACAGCAGGGAGTTGTGCATGGAGCTATCCCAAGCAGCCTCAAAGCGGTAGAAAGTCCTGTGGTGGCCCAAGAATCAGCAGTTAAAATCAAGGTTCATTTACAAAAACCCCAAAAATTAATTGGCTCTAAAACTTTATGTATATTTATATAAAATATAATTTAAATAATAGAAATTAAGAAAAACATGTTGGGAATATAATTAAAAACAACCAATAATCACTTAACTAAAGCTATAAACAAATTTCAATCAAACAAAAGTAAGAATACACTCATTTTGCATGCAACAGGCTGAGATGATGATCTGCTTTGCACAAAACACAATAGAAAAGCAGAGGAGAGCAGGGATGGTTATTAGTACAGATAAAATTTGAGGCTGGGATGGGAGAAAGCCAGAGAAGATGAGGGACAGAGCAATGAAGTACCTATGGTCAACTCCCAAGGAAATGCTGTGAGACAGAAGAAATCAGCAAAAGAATAGAAAGTGAGAGTCAGGAAGTAATGTGGTTGTGCACTTGTGTGGCTGGGATGGTGTTTGTCTTAATTTTTTTTTAACGTAAATAACAATGAATATATCTCCCTAATCAGAGACCATGGAAGAGACTGTACATTGGTGCTGATCTGTCATTATGATTGACCTTTGACATGGTCACATAATAGTCCACCACAACTTGTTGAGCATAACACTACTGCTATCTGTTTTGCCAGTAATCTAATCTATAACGTAGCTTGACAAATTTGACCCAGTCCCTTGAGGGGGACTGCAGAAAGCAGTTATTATTCTGGCCTCCCGTCCAAGACTGCCTAAACCCTTAAAAAGATTATCCAAGCAAAAATTGTAAAAGGAAACTAGTGTCTCTGTAAGCCATAAAAAAAATAGGTTGAATAGGCGGTTCACGAGGTTCAGATGTTCAGCCCACTGGTCTTGTGAACAATGTGCTGTCCACAAGACAGTAATCAGCCTTACACTGAGCAGGAGTAAAAACAGTGAGCTTGACTAAGTGCAGAGATGCCCCCCTTCTTTCACAAGCAGTTACCACATTCATTGACACACACAAACACACACACACACACATTAAAATCATATATCACACTCACACACACACATGTGACCTCTTTCCAAATGGTAAAAACTTGTGCTCACGCTACAAGGAAGCAATTTCCTCTTTGCACTACTCCACCATGTGCTTCTTTGCATTTTACTGCCTCCTAAAAATGTGGGAGCCAGCACTGAAGTCATGGTACTGGCAGAACATGTAAGGAAGCTTTTGTTTCAAAGCATTGGCAGTTTTGTTGAGGTACTAGCAAGATTAAAAAATATTCACAACATGACTACAATTCTGTGTAAAGTGCTATTGGTGAGGCAATGCTTTGATAGGGTTGCATTTTAATAACTTCACTGTGCCAGGACGGGTAGTTCTTCCATTTTGTAGCAGTCGACAAATAGTGGGTGATTTGTATTCCTCTAAATATACCATAGCTGTGAAAGGCTGCTCACTGATTAACAGCAAACAGACAAAGCTAGATGTATTTTTATTTACTCCAAATAATGCATCACTGACAGGTAATTTTAATACTACTACTAACGATAATAATAATAATAATGTATTCTGATTGTTGTTGTTGTCGTTATAATTACAATTATAATGATTGTTGTTATTACACACAAACATTGCAACACAAAGGCAGGATAAAAGTCTTTGTCTGTTTTAAAGGGCATTTTATAGTCCATTTCTGCCACCCCCTACTGGAAAATTACACCAAGACATCTTTTGGTTACCCAAATCATCACCAAATGTGTAACCTTTCAAATTGTATCTGCACTGCAATTTGTGTCTGTAATGAAACAGACAAAAAACAGATTTGGAGGTCTCTTTAAAAAACGGTTGCACATTGTTAGATTCTATCTTATGATCCAGTTGAAGGGTATGGGACATCTGGCCTAACGACACCTCCTGCAACGACGCAGCCAAAAACAGCCAAAATAAAGAGAAGCAGAGTCATGCAGACTCTGTTCAACTGAAGCCTGATAACAGCTCAAACACGCATCCAGCACAGCAAAAGACCTGAAGACATGCAGAACCACATCCCTCACTTCTCATGAGGGAAAGAAAACAAATAGGAACACATGAAATTCTGACAGTAAAGACAGAGAAGGTGAGAAGGCAACTACATCACTGAAGGCTGACCAGGGATGACAGGGTGTACAGGCAGTTAGAAGGATGATGTGTTTATGTAACTTGTGAGAATGGAAAGATAGCCAAACAATATACCTAGGCATGTCCGAATCAAGAAACTGTCTGCAAAACCAAAGAAAAGCAAAAAAAACAAAGATTCTGTTAGTGAATTGGGGAAAGAAAAATGTTAGCATCCATGTATATGTTTTGTTAGTTTCAGCAAGACTGGGACCATAGTTTTAGGTGGTACTCAAAGCTTAAAGTAAATGATTGGCTTTCCCAAAATCCAAGGGGTACAGCAAATATAGTAAAGGGCCAACCCTGTAAAAGGACTAGCGTCTAACTAGCGAATGCATCTACACTGAAAATCAGTAAATCTACACAATAATACTGTTGGTTTTGGATTGTTAAGAGGAATTGGCTTAATAAAGAGCATAAAAAAGAAACATTCACATTTTAAAATAAAAAACAGTAATTCTTAATAATTGGTTAAAAATGCATTAATATTTTTGTCTCTACAGCAGCTTTGATATGTAATATTTTAGACCTTATAAGCTAAGAATAAAAAACTAGACAAAGAGAGTTAAATTTCTCTTCTGTATTACATATTTGGAAGATTTTGTTCTTTAGTTATAAAACATATTAGCATATGCTAAGACAAATTCAATGGACACATTTTCATTATAGACCCACAAATCATGATAAAACCCATTTGTCCTCTTCTGGCAGCAAATAATCACATTGATATTAACATTATGTACACACACACAACTATATGTATATACATATATATATATATATAGATAGACATCAATATAAGCTGCAAAGACATATTTTTTATTATTTCTTTACTTAAGCATTAATTAAATAGATATTTTTTCAATATATGTCAATATAAAATGGTAATGTTTCTGAAACAATAGTGGATATGTTGTGTACAACTATTAACCATATGGAGGGGAGAATATTCTCAACAGGAGGTGATAAACAGACTGAGATGCAACATGTAGGTGCAATGATGACAGAAAAGACAAATTCGACACAAAGGAGGGTCGTGCAGCCAGTGTGGATAAGTGAACTACTTTTGTAGTGTAACTACAAATGTGACAGATGATTTTTTTTATTTGGTGAAGGAAAGTTTCAGCCACTGTGTTTTTGGTCTTCTGAATATCACCTATAACAATTATAGACAATAACCTAGATTCATGCAGACACAGCAGTACAGATAAGAACAGAAAGGAACTTGCTGAGGTTTCTGTGAAATAAATAGGCATCAATAGGTATGTCTCTGCTTCCATGCTTTTTTGTTTCGCAAATAAAGCTTGCGCCTTATGCCATGCATTTGCATTTGTGCCTTGTTTTAGTGCAGGAGCTGCATTGGCACTGCTAAATTCAACTCTTAAAATGAACAGAAATCAAACCCATGTGATAGAGTGGTTTCAGTGGCTTACAAAGCTAAATCTTAATTTGAACGCAATTGCATCTGTTTGGGAAGCTTTGAATTTGCCGTTTCATAGAAAGAATTTTTCATCAAAAGTCTTTCATCTATCGAGAAAAGTATTAACCTATTCAACAGTACCCACCTGTCATCCTGCAAAGGTCTTACATAGCCAGCAGACAAGATATTCAAAGAAAGAATATTGGGGTCAACGATGGTCTCGTCACCTTCTGGAGTGTTACGCAGACGCCCTGGAAATATACAAGTATCTGAGTAAGCAGAGCTCCAACAGAATTTTGATCAAATTTTTAATTTGGGGGATACAATTCTGAAGACCAAACTTACCGACAACAAGCTCACGGACATCCTTCCATTCCATATCGCGTCCAGACTCATGTACAATAGTAACAGCAATTCTCCTCTGGAGGCCCTGTAGTGAAACAAAGAAGAATAAAGTAATGTGTTTTTATTTTTGTTAAAATATTTTAAACATTGTACTGCACACTGTGTGACTGACATACCTGGTGCAGTAAGAATGTGCCATGGCACGGCATTCCTCCTCTGTGGTCCACAACTGCGGGGATGTAACTTGGATGAATGAAGGAAAACAAACGTCACATATCTGGGCAACTGCCTCTGAGTTCAAACATAAAAAGACTACTTAAAACATGTTGAACCTTTGATGCTTAGTGAGTTAACACCAGATACTCACTCTCCAGTGGCTTCAAGCTCACAGATCTCAAAGAAGACCATGAGATCATATTTACAGTGGCAGGTTCCTGCCTGCGGACGGGTCATGGCTTTGAGCTTGGTGGCGGGTACTGTGTTAAAAAAGATTTGAAAGCGGGTTATACAAAGAAGTCTGTATAAACTTAGGAACAGGGTGGTGGCTAACAGCAGGGAGGTCACAACAGCTAGATAGCTGCCCTACCAAGGAAAGAGATTGGGAAGAAGAAAGGATATCACTAATGCAGGAAGAGAGGAATCACTAAGAAATGTAAATGGAACTTCTTCCTTCAGCGCATTCATTCTGACTCTGTAAACCATTAAAGGGAAACACTATCATGCATCATTTGAGAAATGTAACTCGGTTTTACAGGGTTTCTGACAAGCATCTGATGTGGAAAACATAGACTGACCTGTTTATTGCCTGAGGCTAATCAGCACAAACTCCTCACATAGCATTTTTCAAAAACTGAATGACTAATTGAGAATGAATTGCATTTTTATAACTTATCACAGTTCCCTAAAACGAAATTCAGAAGCAAAGAAGATAACACCCTCAATAAATCTGCATGCATCCCGCAGCCCATGATCAAGACGACAGCAGATACAGAGTCGTCATAAAATGTATGGTGCAGTGTGTAATTTGTTTGCAAATATTATATGTTAAAATAGATTTTTCCTCTTCAAAGCATTTGTTTCTCTGTTTTCTATAAAAAAGGATTATATGTAAACACAATATATTTTCCAAAATCTTACTTAATGTGTGTTAAACCTGAGCAGAATGGTGTACAATTCCATGAGCAATCCTTTCCAAGAAAATGTGGTTTCATGATTGAATTTTGAAGAAAGAAGGCACAACAAACAAATTTAAGAGAAGCTAAAGGAAGGAACCGAAAGGAGCATTCACCACAGCAAAAAAACTAGAGTACCAGAGAGCCAATCCAAATGTAGAATCCTGTCAGGGGAAAACTCTTTTTATATCAATTAATTGAAGTTATAAAATAGTTTTGTGGGCTAAAATGACTTATGTATTAGTATTGTTGATACAAACCACAAAAACATGTTTTTGTGTCAAAACACCCATGAAAATGTCTTATTTGTGCTCCACCCTCCATATCACTTTCTTGAGTCACATGGAGCACTGGTGTAGTAAATTGAAAGGTTATATGTTTAATTTTTGGCAATACTAATAAATTGCATTATTAAAAGATACTTATTTGGTATTCTTTAAAAGTGCGGTTGCAGCAATAGATTACAAGCACTAAATCGAATAAATCTGTGGTTTTAGAAGATTTCTGTCAGGTCAAAATAGACATTTGATATAAGATGAAGTTTCCACTCGCAGGACTCTCTTGGATTTGACAACTATCAACCAACCCGGCTTCTGAGCTTTAATAACTGAACAGATAGAGATGGGTGGAGCTGGCAGCTGAGCTTGCTCGTTTGCTTCCAGTAGGAAAGAAGCAGCCAAGCCAGCAGCAGACAGAGCGTGGCCTGACAGCGAGTCCACAAGTGCCCCATTGAGTACATCTGGGACCAGGTATCGGATCAGCTCCAGTGACTTCTCCCGATCCGGCGAGGTGTCAGACTCCACTGCTCACACCCAACAACATGAAGCTAAGATGACATCTCTTGCTGGCACAAAGATAACGTACAAAATGTGCAAAAGAAATGCAACAAAAATGAACAGTTAAAGAGCTCTAGTTATGAGTTTATTACCTGGTTTGGACAGAGGCATCAATCGTGGAAACTGCCTTCTGCAGGGACGTAGTGGACTGTATGTAACCACACAGATACATGTCATTATGAAAACCCAACTATAAATTTATACATGTACAGATCGTATCTTCAAGTAAAAAACTGTATTTTACTGTTAACTTGATCTAATGAACAGATAGGGTACCTCATCACATCTTTACATAGAGGAATAAAAGGCTGTTTCTGGTAGTGTCCAAACACCTCGAACACAATTGGCTGCGTCTTGATGTAGTCCACAAAGGACTTAGTAACCTCAACAGCAATCTGCAAAAACAATAAATTATTGTTCTGTAGTGTATCCACCAAAAATATTATATGTGTATATTTTTAGCAAGATAAATAAGTTCTGGTGGTTCTCACATTTTGCACATGATAGAAGCCAAGAGGAGGACCTCGGCCTGTGTTTTTTAAAGGTTCAGTTGAGAATGCCTCATCATGACGGTGGATAAAACTGAAAGTAAAAGAACAATATCAAATTTCATGTGAAATTGTCTACTTCTGACTTGAGACTTTATAATAACAGTTATTAAAGCACAATAGGACACATTCTGATTGAACACCTACTTGAACTGACAGAAGATGTCTGCATACTCTGCAGAGATGCTGGAAGCCTGCAAGACTGTCACCCTGAAAGTAAAAATGTCACCGATCCTCATATGATCCAGAGAAACATCTAATGTTCCATCCAGGCCCGCCTTTAGTGGATTGTCCAAATCATCTGCACCAGCTGCGAGGAATAAAAGAAAGAAAACAATAAAAACAGACCTAGAATTTTAGAAAGTAAAGCTTGCATTAAATAATCTGCAGAAGGATAGATTAGATTGCCAGGATTTGGTTTATCTGACTCATCTTTTTTTGACAGACTTGGTGTTACAAATCCACCCCATCTAACGTTTTGATGTGGATATTGCCCTGACAGGTCATCAAACATGTAGAACTAATTTATTCTTTAACCATTAACTACAAGGCGGATGGATAAAATGAAACACACTCACACATAGACAAAGTCCCATTCTCTCGTAGAATAAAGTTACCCGCACATGTGTTGTTGTTGACCTCATCAGCCGATGGTCCCATTTCTGCATTTTGCCCTTCTCCCTCCACAATACGAAGCTCTTCCTGTGAAATCCCTGTGCGGGACAGTCCAGCAGTGCAAGACTGGAACTGAAAATGGAAGGTGCACAACAGACTGGTACATAAATACATAGTTGAACTTAAAATCTACTGTCGACCACATTAACATTTGTGTGATTTATTTTGAACCTTTTCATATTGCTGATCCTCAAATGAGATTTTGGCAGTGCCTGACTGCCGTACTCCTGAGCCATAATCCGGAGCTTCCTCATCAGCTGGAGGGAAACACAAAACACCTTCACTTCACTCCCTCCTGAAGTCAAACCGAGCCTGTATAGCCAATTGGTTGATGCTGTTTGATATAAATAAGGGAGAAGCAGAGGATCTGAGCCTTACCTGAAATGGCTTGAACTGCCACTCGGAGGAACCCCTTCACCTCTCCCCTCTCGCTGACAATGGCCACACGGTGGACTAGAGGGACTGGGTAGAGCAGGTTACTAAGATAAACAAAGGCCCTGTATGGGGAGAAAATAAGAGAAAACCAAAAACATTACAAACAAGCTGACGATGTGGTTTACACTTACATTTTCATTGGACAAGACAACAGAACACAGAGCTGCAAAGCAACCAAACAGAAGCTGGGACTGCTCTTGCGATGGCCATGGCTGCCCTTTACTATTGCTTTATAGGGGCCTTTCCTCACCATCCATAGATAATGTATAATCAATACAATTATAGGTGTCTTGCAACATCTCAAGACTTTTGCATTTTATTGATGAAGCCTTGGTGAGGCTGAGGAGCATGTGTATGCAGGTCAAATTGAAATGATTTAAATTACATAAAAATGCTAGAAACTAGCTCTACCCTCTGTTGGGGAGCAGATTTTCCTTATCTAAACTACTTTATAATAACATTTCATTGCATCAAAATTCTGCCTCAATAAGAGGACACTACAAATGTAAGCACTATGCTCATCTAACAGAGTAAGATTGAGCAACTGAAGCAATCTATATTCATGTTCAATTTGAAAATAATATAGGGGTTGTTACAGAAATGTTTTTTTTAAGAATAGAAATTAATGAAAAACCCCATAAGAAATGTTTCAACTTCAGGGATTTATACTGTCTTGCTTTTAACAATGCTTGATCTTGTACTCAAAGACCACATTTTCCAAGTGCCGGAGGGGGTAGACATTTAAGGGTGGAGGTGTAAAAAGGGAGAGACTTATGACAAGATTGGTGAGGTGCAAATAAGGCATGCTCAGGACGTAAAAGGTGAACAAAAATGCTTTCAACTTGTCAACTCAAAGGAATCAAAAGCAAATGGAACAGAAATCATCATACGGAACATGGCTCAGCCTGAATAAAAAACTGCCAACAGCTAAATATATAGAATGCTGCAAAAAACCAACAAATGACATCAAAAATCAAAGCGCACCTCTTAGATTAAAGTGGTAAATTGAACAAAATAGGGGGATTACTTATTTGTCAGATGTATTCAAGTAAATTTGACAAAAAAGGTAAAAAAATGACAAGATTTGTGCTCTGGCATGCCTAAAAGAGACAGCTGCAGTAGAAACCAGCTCTTTCATCTTGAGATTTTGAGTCTGCATTGAAAACCACTTTGCTAGTTCATATAAATAAATTCCAGACTCCTTCATACTTATTTCTATTACAAAGCACGGTGAGAACACATCACTGTGGGTCCATTTGTTATGTAAATCAGGTCTGACTATGAGAAATATCAGTGTTTAAGAAAGTGAATGAACTTTTTTGACGACAGGCCTCGGCTTTACATAACGTATATGTGAAACACAAACTTCCAGCAGCCATTCAGACTTAACTTTGCTTTGATTCCAGCACCAACAAATGGCATGAACTGAAACACCTTGAGCTGACTTTAAGAACTTGATGGTAGAATTGAGTGAGAAGCATTTGGTAATAACGTCAAAAAAGCAACAAAGAAAAGTAAAACAAGCATTTAACTGATTTGTTATTATAAATAATTCAATACATATATACATATATATAATATATATATATATATATATATATATATATAACTTTAAAACCCAGAAATGTCTACTCCAGAGTTCATTCAGTAATCAAATAAATTCATAGCACTGTGGGGGATGGCTTGAATAATTGAAGTATCTGATTTCACTCAGCAACAATTAAAAAAATCCCCCATAATGTCCCCCCACTTCAGGTATAGCACTGAAATGCTTCAGCTCCTTACTTAGATTGCATCTTCCTGTGCAAGCTAGACAGTGAAATGAAAAAAGAAATTGGAAGCCAAAATGATAGCTATCTTGGGCAGAGGAAATGAGGTTAGCAAAAAAAAAAAAAAGAAAAAAAAAACTCCCATACATGAAATTAAAATTCTTTGATGTGTAAAAAAAGTTCCTATTCCAAAACATACACAGTGTCTGTGTTGTGAACAGTGTGTTCATCTCTGGTGATGGTGATGTCTGTTATGGGAAACAGACCCTGCGTCTCAGCGTGAAAGAGCTAGTTTCCTCCACCAGCATGCTCCTGAAACCTCACCAACCTTCCCACTACACTGAATAATGGAGAGCGGTCGTAAAAGGGATCCAGGCCTTCGCTGGAGCCTCGGCAGAACTCTCCCTCATCATCATCATCATCATCATCATCATCCTCATCCTCTCCCCCGAGCTCCGAGCTCGGGTCGTCCAAAAAGATATCATCATCCAGGTCTTCCAAATCCTCCTCCCCTGGACCCTCCCTCTGCGAGTCAGCCAGCTCAGTAATTTCAGAGTTGGAAAGGGTCGGGGATGGGGTGGGATCACTCATGCGTTCGCTCATGCATGTGTTGAAAATGGGGTTTCTGGTGCAGCCAGAGACATGGGAACTAGGTTAGAGCAGTTAGAGAGCACAAACGTGTTCACACAAACGGGGTGGTAGAGCAACGTATGGACTGGACTCCAGGACAAAACCGCCTTTCCTTTGAGCCAAAAGCTGTTTTTAATATCTGTTTGAATGGAAAATGTATTAACTGTGACTGATAAGAGATGTGGAAGTGGAAGAGTTGAAGTCAACTACAACTGCATTGAAATGTAAAGGTAAGAAAGGTACTGCCTATGTGACAAAAGCAGGTATTTCAATATGGATGATCATGAGTATGATGGTGGACCACAGAAGCGCAAACAGGTAAAATGACCGTGAAGCCAAGAAAATTAATAAATTCAATTACAAACAGTTTGCCAACTATGCTACATATCGACAGTAATGGTATACTGAAGTATTTAACCTATTAAAAAAGCAGGATCCAATAAAAGATGGTTAGAACTTATAACAGCTGGGGTGCCACTGAAACAAACAACTATACAAGTCTAATAGTTAATTAGAAATTGGAATTTTATATCTGCTTCCAATGAATTCATACCATTTGTGATTGTTTAAAAAAGTAAACTCTCCTCCATCTCCATCGTCAGTCATCATAGTTCCAAGAACAACTGAATCAAGCTACAGTTACAACCTTGCCTTTGACATTAGGCGGAACCACATTTTTGTCCCAGTATAATTATTTGGGAGCAAAATTACCTCCTATCCCTAACCTCCAGTAAGCGCATCCTGCTTTGCGGCACAATATACTGAGAGTTAACACTGAAGGTATTTAGCCACTTCTAACTCTCTCTGTGGATGATCATCACATATGCAAGTATAGCTGAACTCAAAGCATAGCTGTTTAAGATTACTTGAAAAGTTATCTTAGCAGACGATGCTGAAAATATAAAACCAGGATATTATTAGAGCGGATGGAAATCTTTAGTTCTTAATGGATCGATCTTAATGGACTTGGTAATTTCTGTAAGAAATATGCCACAAAAAAAAAATTAAGTGTAATACTTTGAATGTCTCTACACAGGCAAACTTTGAAGCAAATCTCCAAATGAAACATTAACTTTAGGTTAAATAAACAGGGTTCAAGACATTATTACATTCATGGGTGATACGAATAGTATTATATAATAGGAGTGTGTGATAAAGGAGAGTTCATCTACAAGATGGGTAGGGAGAGAGAGACTGGGACATTATGTGCTAAAGTCAGAGAGAAAGCATAGCAGGCTTTGAGTAGGTGGTGAAGAGATGTTATTAAGTGCTCCACTGCAGATTTTCCTAGTAAAGAAAATAGGCCGTCAACTGGCATGTTCAACCATCACATTTTTTCATTGCCTTGATAAATGAAGCCCAGTAATATATCTGAAAAGTAAAATAGGTGATTTCATTATCGTGTTCCATTCAGACACCAGGCTGAATGATGGCAAGCTTTAAAAACATCCATTATCGTGTCTCCGTGGTTCGTTGACCTTAGCATGAGCTGAGGATAAATATTTTCTGTTTCTACCCCTGCTGTATGGAACCAACAGTGCTCAGAATTTACCTGCCAACCAGACGGAACCAGGGAAAGCGATCATAAAAAGGGTCGCCTCCTGTCATCACATTCTCACTTTGCTCAGTGGTAGTGTTGGGGACATCAGCAGCACGGTCATACATCTCTCGCATGAGATCAAGCCTCTGCCTGCAAAAAATGCAAACGATTGTCCCTTTAAAAGATTTGTCTAATTAGACACGCAATATGGAATTAAGGAATAACCAACATGACATTTGTCAGATCTATAACTGTGAGAGATACTGACTATTTTACTTTTTTTCACTACATATCAAATGCTGGCAAGAAATTTTTTTAAATTTTAAATAATAAAAAAGCTACATGTATGATCACTGCAAAAATCAGATTTGTACATTTTTGTTAAGCAAACTCTTAAACAGACCTCAGTTTCTCTAGTGTCCAGTAGTGAGTGGCTCCATTCTTCTGATCCTGTACTTCGACAGCCACTATGGTGCGAGGAAAATGACGCTTCTCTATGTCTTTGGATGCCTCAGGGGGCAACAGGTCAGGAGGCAATGGGGAGTACAAAGTGTCCGTCAGCAACACAAACTGGAACTGGACCTGCAGGGGAACAAAACGGTTCAGTCTGGTGACTGATCTGTAGATTTTCCATAATTATACTGATGAATTACAAACGTGTTGGACCTTCTTTTTGAGTTCAACACTGATAGCATTGGCCTCCTTGAGAAAGATTGCGTTTCCCCATAATAGATCTCGAAGAGATGTAAACTGGTAGCACCTCCATTTACGGAAGCTCCACACGGCCAGCTCCCTTTCCCTCTCTGTCCATTGTACTGAAAGGTAACAAGATAAAATATCTTCATGCGGCCAAACATTTTAATGACATCCTAAAAGTTTACTTCCCCATCCACTATGTCTACCTTCCTCTTCTGGTCCCTCCTCCTCCTCCGTGGCTTCTGGGTAATAACGGTCCACCTGCTTCTGAAGAGCCTCCAGCTTGCTCTCATAATCCTAGAACATTGCATTAAAAAGAAATCAGCTTGGCAGAAAAAAAATACTTTTAGAGTTATGTCAGGGAGGAAACTATCCACGGAAATCTCTGTACCACACACACTGTTTTGTATTGTACCTTATATTAAAAATTGAATATATTTGTTCATGTAAAGAAATTAGAAAAAACAAAAGCAATTAATACATAATCAAATATTAATTCTATATATATATCAATATAAAATATGTCTAGTCAATCAGTTTATCTGTAATTCTTACGAAGGTATGGAATTAAAATGTAATTTAAAAAATGGAAGAAATGGAACTGAAAATCTACCTATTATGTTTATGTCTCAAAGTATACAGTACCAGTCTTTGCTGCTCCAGAAGGTTGTTAGCCTCTTCTCTTTCTTTGCGATACTGATCCTCCAACTCCTGCAGCCTGCAGGACATAAACAAACAAAACAGGGATCAGGGAGGAGTTGCACCAGTTCAAATATGCATCATATCATATATGCTTGTTATAGTTTTCAATCACTGATTTATCTGTTATATTTTGTACCTCTGTTCCATTTCTTGTTTCATGTCAATGCCCTGTTTGTCCAACAGCTCCCTCTGAGCAAAGGCCCAGTCGACAGGCTCAGCTGGGGTTTCAGCACAGGGTGTCCTCTCCCTCTCTGCCCTGGCCTGCTCAGGGTGGTTGAAACGGAACACATGACTTTTCCCCAGGATGATGCGATTTCCTGCAAAAGTATCATGCATTAGAACTCCTTGATTTAAAAGTTTTTACATGACATGTAAAACAATGTTTCTGTCAGGTATCACGTAGAGGAAAAGATGAAATTCTGGAAAAACAAAATACATATGGCATTCTGACCTGACTTCAGAACAGTCGGTTCCGTCACTCTCTTTCCATTGACATAGATCTCAGCATCGTCACAGGGCTCTAAAACAACTGCTAATTTGGAAAAAATGAGAGCTTGTGAAACACTAAAACTAATATTTGTAGCTTTAGGTCTGGGGAATCAGGTAAAATGTGCTCACTTTCCCCCATTGGACCAGAGGAACTGGTAAAGGTGCAGTGCTCATCTTTGATGAAGTGACCACTGAGGACGATATCCTGACGACTGCTGGCATCTAAACGACCAACCCTGGGAAACATCAAAGATGAGTTTGTTTTACTTAATCTATATATTGTTCTTCTCTTTTTCCGGTTAATGTACCTATATGTCTATGTAAATATGTATTAGCCTAACATTACTGTATGTGTAAAGAGTCAATATCTGACCTGGTGATTCCATCTTTAATGTAGTACAGCAGGCACTCAGACATCAGTGGGTCTTCGTTGAGGTTGACCAAGTGAGGTGTCTGACATAGAATGAAGAATAATTGACCAAATGTCAATGTTTGGTAAGGACTACACATAGGGAAAAATAATTTAGCATCCATATGTTATTTACAATGTTCCTTATAGATTAGATCTGAAAAAGATCTGAAAAACACTCACTGGAGGGAACAGTCAGAAACAGTTAAAAACATGTAATTGAATTCACTCCCCACAGCTTTCCAACGTAAGCCTTTAATGTACTCTGCAGGCAAACTGCTTTAAATGGCTGAAATGGAACAACCATCATATTTCCCCCATGCTTACAACTATTGCTAGAGATGAAGAGAGGGCTTTCTAGAAAAGAGTATTTAAGCACACTGAGTATAAGACTTAATGAAAAATAGAGAAACCCCTTTCTGATTTGGTAATGTAAGGAGAATCTCAAAGCACTCAGAGGAGACACATGAATTATCACTTCAAAACAACAAACCTCATTGGGTGAAAATAGACCAACTGTGTCTATAAACACAGGCTGGGGCTTTCTGGGGTTATCAGTGGGCTTTGGGGTGAATAAGTAAGCATTCAATGATTAATCTACATGATAAGCATTAAATCAAAAGAAGTTTAGAAACATCTTAAGGGAAATATCTTATTTGTACCTTCTTGGGGGAGAATACACCAACAGTGCCACCGTCTTCTCGCATGGCCACACCCATTTCTGCAAGCAAAGCTTCCCTGTGGAAAAATTATTATGCCTCAATAATAATTGATTATTATTATTAAATTATGGAGCCTCGATGTTTGTATATCAAGATGCCTAAGTTGTAAGTTAATTAAGTAAACAAAAGAAATGTTGATAATTTGACAACATATTCTGAAGACCACACTGCAAATCTAGACTTAAAGTGTTTCTTATATTGCTGCCAGCTTTGAACCTTAGTTATATTAAAACATTAAGATTCATGTAAATGTATTTTACATTTTAGTTCAATATTCAGTTGTGGGGGAAATTACTTTCAAGTATTTAAAATGCTACAAAATATGCAGAACCTTTCAAGCTTGACCATGACCTGGATGACTGAGAATCTCCACAGATATTGTCTAAAATGTTTCCTATCTTTTGCCAAATGTCATGTGGGAATGATCCCCTTTGTGGAAGCACAGGCAAAAACTGCCAGAGGACATATGGATGGAAAATCAAACAAAACCTTACCTTTCCATTCTAATAGCTTCTGTTCTGCGAAGTTTCTCTTCCCATGTCTCATTTAGTTCAGCTATAATCTTCTCGGTTTCCTGTTATTGCAAAATAAAGTAGAAATTTTATTCAAATCAAACATTGATGAATTCATCTACTAACATGGCTCTGTGTTATTCAGTGCTTACCTTCAGCCTCTCAATAGCCTCCTCACTGCCTGGGCTGAACATTATTCGGTCATGTAGACTCGCTATAGAACCGGCACGGCTGGACAAAGCTGAGAGGGATGGAGAGGGGCTCATCCCCGTCATGGCATTGGTCACTGTGGAGAGATCATCCCTTTGATTCACATCTTGGCCTTTATTGTTATTGTTCTTGTAATCGGACTTGTCTGTCAGGGTGGGGCATGGGGAGTAGACAGGAGGTGGGGTTCATGTAACCAATAATAAAAAGTAAAAGAAGAAAGAAATGCATAAAGGAGAGGATACGAAGAGAGGGGAGAGTAGAAAAGAACAGAGATTTGTGGCTTCAGACACATCTAACTCACAGAGAGAAATTTTAACGGCTTGCATAAAAGCGACTGCAGCACGAGCAGAGAGCCGCAAAGAAATGATCAACTTAAATGATGCAACAAAGGCTCTCCAGCCACATCCAGACTCAAAGAAAATAGGCAAACTTCAAGCAGAGCATTATACGCAGAACCATTCAAAAACAAGAACACATCTCATCCCGATGTATTAAGATACAGGATTGTTGCAAAGATTTTCTACAAATTTGCATTTTACGCCATACCCCAAGGAAGCATCCTTACAAGAAAAAAAAAAGTGATCACTTATGGAAAACCAATTAAGCACACAAGGCATTTTTACATTGAGGTACTGGGTAGTAACTTTTTTTCAATAAAAACTTATTTTCCTGGAATACACAAATATTTTGTTAGGTCTGTTATTCCAGTGACAACTAGGCTAGTGCGGTCAGAAGTTCAATGTTCCTTGAAGAGTGAATTTCATATATGCTCTCTAAAGAGCTGTGTCTTAAGAGAATTTCTGGAAGACAGAATAGAGTATTCAAGTAGATGGGAGCCGTAACTTTAAGATCTTTGTTGGCTAATATAGGTAAATTGAAATTTGATGTTGGTGGCTATGGTTAGCCAGTGGAGCCTAAACAGAGAGGTAAGGTGGGATTCTTTTGGGGTGATTGCAGACTAGACACACTGCCAGGTTAAAAGAGTCTTTATGATGTTTCTGTCACTGTCTGAAGTACTTTATGGAACTTTTTACTCTTTCAAAGATTATTGAGGAAGGCTGCACTTCTCAAATCCAACCTGTAGGTGTAGGTGTTACATGTTCTGAATTAAGTTCATCCTCATCAGACTGGGTATAGCAATATGCAAAGTTCAATCCTAGTTTATGATCTTGTTTACAGTTTTCAACGGGTTATTAGTATTTTGAGGTCATTCAAACAATATAAAAAATTCACAAAATGTTTGATGTCTTCAGATTAGAGTTCTATCTTGGTTTTATCATCCTCCTAAATTGCTGTAATAAATTCTACATTATGTGCAGCTATTTCTATGGAAACAGAGAGCGACAAATTGGAAAACCATTTAACCATTTATCTGAGGAACCATTAGCCTGCTTCTGCAGTCACCAGAGTTGGGTATTATATAAAAGGTCATCACTTAAAATGAGATGACGACCTCAAAGATCCAATATCATACAAATGATGTGGCTTATACTGACAATAACTTTGTCTTCCTCTTACAGTTACTGTTTGTTTTCTCATCAAAGCCTCAATTTCAAGAAGATCATTCCAGGCATACAGAAACTGGGGACTGAAAATCTGTTGCTGTTCTATAACAGGGGACATCAATAACTGAGATTATTTTTATCATTAAATGTATATACCATATCGTCAAAATTAAGATCTGCCACTTTAAAACAATATCTGCAAAGCCAAATATATAAATCTCTACAGCACCATTACATGACAAAAGGCACATAAGTAACTTGACTCAACTTGAGTTAGTCACATTTTGTGTGACTAACTCACAATATTGGCTATTTAGTTGACGTAAAAAAATCCCCAAAATCATTCTGGTCAACATAGTTGTACCATGGTGCTACAGAGAAAACTAACAAGCTACAGCAAGCACCTATGATACCAAGCAGCAGAGCAAAAGCAACAGCCAGAAAAACACACATTTCAAACCCTCTAGATCAGTGCCAGACGCTCGATATGCTGGAAGGAGAGAAGACAAAGAGGAACAGAGAGAAAGATAGAGGAAAAGATGCACAATACGTTTAGACAAAATATTAAGTTGTCATTTCACAAGCCTGAATACAGTCAAAATATTGTGTGTGTGTGTGTGTGTGTGTGTGTGTGTGTGTGTGTG